ACGGAGGTGGAACGAGATGAGAAGCAGGAGAACAAGGCGAAACGGCTGTTGGACATCAAGGCTGGTGCATATTCTGGAGTTGTAAAAGCTTTCACTGCACTTGATGTTAAAAAGAAAGTGGTAACTTTCTGATACCTGTTGCCCTGAGACTACCTGCTACGCATGTCTCTTCAGGTTTCGTAATAGATTATCTGATTTTGAGAGCCTTTGCTTTACTCTGATTTCGTGAAATGCACGAGCGGGCCGCAGGATTCCGTTCGTCGTCATTCTCATGATCTTTGAGTCAGTGAGACCTCTCTTCTTCGTGATTATTTACCACTGTGGTTCCTTGCCATGTCTATAGTTTCACAGATCATTTATGGAACGGCCTGGTACGAAGACGGCACTATAGAGGATACGTGTTTGCTAAGTGAGCGAGCAGGAAGAAAGAGCAGACTGCAGGTCTGGTTGTGAATGCTATTCTTCAAGGCTTCCGAGCTATCGACACCGGTGGGTAACGTGTATTCTCTTTCAAGGATTAACTCGTTGATCATGGCTATATTAGCTTGTCAACCTAAGCATTATCGGTGAGTTGGAAGTGCAGTTATCAATATGGTGTATTGAATTTTTGGACATTTTCAGTGAAGACCTTGTTGGCGAAGCACTCACTGAACTGGCTGAAAAACACCATATAAAGCGCGAACAACTCTTCATACAAACAAAGTAGACTTAGTGGCTTATAGTCAATGGCATTGACAAAAATTCTCACCCTAGATACACACCAATCTCGGGACAGGACACGTCGAAACCTTTACCTTACAATCCGAAAGACCCAATCGAGAAACAGATTGCCAGCTCTCTCCAAACCTCTCTATCCAACCTTCGCACCACGTATCTGGACAGCTACATCCTCCACTCACCGTTTAGCACCATCGACCAAACACTCAAAGCATGGCGCGCGTTGATGGCTTCTCAGGATGAAGGTAAAGTGCGGATGATTGGCGTGAGCAATACGTATGATGTCCAAACGCTGGCGGCACTTCATAAGGAGAGGAAAGTGCAGGTAGTACAGAACCGCTGGTATGAAGGAAATGAGTGGGATAGAGCCGTGCTGAATTTTTGTAAGGAGCATGGGATCATGTATCAGTAAGTCACTTCATTCTCTTGTATAATACCGCCAGTGATGCAGGTGTATTTCAGGTCATTCTGGACGATTTCAGGCTCGCCCTCCTTGCTGGCGCATCCAGCATTGACATCGATTGCTCAGGCGTCGAACTTGACTCCTGCACAAACAGTTTTGAAGATCGCCCAGATGGAAGGTATTATACCACTATCTGGGACGACTAGTGAGCTTCATATGAAGGAGGATCTTAACCTTTATGGCACTGAGATCGCGGATAGTGCGGAGGAGATGAATGCCATCAAGGCATTCATCCGCTCGGGATAGAAGTTCGCTGATAAAAGCGTCGAACGATGGATACTTGCAGACTTTATGATTTCTTTGAAGTGATCTCGGCGTTTCCTACTAAATAGTAGTAAATGAAAGATAGCAATGTTAGTGGGACTCTGGGAATAAGCCAGAACGGCCGGGGAATTAGCGGAGAACCTTGGAGTAAAGCATTTGAGTAAGCAACGGATGCAGACGTTTAATGAAACTACACTTATTCCACAAGCCGACTGTGCCTGGCGACATCCATTTTGGGCTTAGCTCCCGCCTCGCGTTTTCTTCTGAACCATCATTATCAATTTATCTGTTCGCCAACATGTATTCATTGTGTGTCCTCCCTAAAATCAGTATCCTCAGAGGCTTTTACTACGACTACAATAATTCTCTACATGATGAATTGCATCCGGTAGTCATAAATGGAGATATCCAACTCTCTCGCGCGACGTCATTGACATTCTTCCCCACCTGTATCGCCTCCTGGTTGCAAACGTATTTGGCTCCGCCCTCTGGTTATTTGCATCGTGTCCATTATCCTCATGTAATCACTCCATGATGAGGTACTCCTTGGCTAAAGGATTGTCATTTGGTCTTCCTATAAAATCATCATGACAGTAGAAAAAATATCTTTAGGCATCTCCTCTTGTTTCTCTCGCGACATCATAATGGCTCACGCTACGACTTTGACGACTATTCTTCTTGTTTCCATCAACCTTCTGGGCGTGGTCTGTCGCCCTACGATCCACTCCTCACGAGATGTTACGAATGCCACTAAGGCTGGACTCGCGTGGCCAAATGGAGACAGTGCTGATATTAAACAGTACGAGAGTGACAAAATATCATGGTATTATACATGGTCCGCGTTCTCAACGGACACCGACCTTGAATTTGTACCTATGCTCTGGGGTCCAAAATCCGTCGATCAATTCGCTTCGACCATTGATCAAACATTGTCGAGTGGGAACGTGAAAGCAGTTCTTGGGATGAACGAGTACGCCTTACTCTAAACCCTTTTTTTACAAATCTAAATTTCGTTTCCCAGACCAGAGCAACAAGGCCAGTCAAACCTGAGTCCACAAGACGGCGCAAATATGTGGAAAGAGCATCTCGAGCCCCTGCGTGCCAAAAATGTCCGTCTAGGAAGTCCTGCACCATCCAGTGCTCCCTCTGGGAAAACCTGGCTTCAGGATTTCCTCACTGCTTGTGGTGGCGGATGCACAGTTGATTTTATCGCCTTGCGTACGTGCTTCATTTCGTATATAAATTTCTACCGCCAATCTCAAATGATTGATAGACTGGTACGGTACCAATGCCTCTCAGTTCATCGACTATATGAACGACTACCATAACACCTTCCAGAGACCCCTTTGGATCACTGAATGGGCATGCCAGAATTTCGTGGACACCAATGCTCAATGCTCCCAAGACGATGTGGTTCTCTTCCTCAATAAAACACAGACCTTCTTGGATTCGAGTGATTTCGTAGAAAGATACGCATGGTTTGGAGCGATGAAAGATATGCAGGGTGTTAATGCTGTGAGTCAAAGCCTTTTAGACGTAAAGGCTACTGCATGCTAATGAACTTATTTTAGGCAAACGCGATCATGGATAGTAATGGGAATATCACTGCCCTCGGGAAACAATATACCGGCTCTGAAGCTCCAATAGCTACTGGAAGTGGTAATGCTGATGGTCCAGGCACTCCTGGAGGTGGAAGTGGTAATGGAAATAGTGGAAGTGGTGGAGGGGGTGTCATTATTAGTGGTGCTGTCTCTTCTTCAGTATCGATCAGCGTATTCACCATTGGATTCATTGTACCCACCGTCGTTGGACTCTTTTTCTGATCCCTTCCTAAATTTGACTGGGCGTTGGCCGTGATATAGATCGACGCCTTGGACATTTCTACTGCTGTATTACCAGATGGACATTTCCAAACCCACGATACCCATTTCAGTTGCAATTATCTATATAATATATACTGTATATCTACCATTCCTATCGAGGGAATTGTACTAGTAAGATCTTATCTGTAAACTTCGTTCACGAAATGAGAAGCTTATAAGTACTAAGAAGCCTATTGAAAACTAACAAATTCAATACAAGGTTTGAGCATTAGTTATCCATGTTTGATTCAGAGGATGATAGTACCCAGACGTTATTGACGTCATTCAAGCAAGTTGCCACTCACCTACTGCCACCATTATCTGGAGCTCCATGTCACCCTCACTTGGTGAGAATACTTCATATATACCCACCAAGACGTTCTTTACCTGAGATTTTTCAGTCTACCGTTAGGATAAGCATGTTGCCAATTTCATGCCCACTCCCTCTTGTCATCTTCTTGGCTCTCTTTTCATTTTTTTCCACCAGCCTAGCACAGTCTTTTGATCTATATAACTCTGAATACTATTCTCGAGATATCGCGAATGCCACATCAAAGGCTGGTCTTGCTTGGCCAAACAGAAATACTGTCGATATAAGGGAATACGATAGTAAAAAGGTGTCTTGGTGTGTACACGAAACTGGCATACGGCTGTCTGGGCTCATCAATTAATTATTTAAAGGTACTACACTTGGTCCATATGGCCATACCCCTCTAAAACTACACTAGAATTTATACCCATGCTCTGGGGTCAAAGGAATGCCGACCAATTTGCATCAATGATCCAAAAAACGATATCACAAGAGAAAATCCAAGTTGTTCTAGGCATGAACGAGTGCGTTTGTATTCTACTACGATCACTGATATATAAACTATTTCTCTTGTAGGCCAGAGCAAAAAGGCCAGTCTGATATGACACCGGAGGATGGGGCCACGCTTTGGAAATCGCATCTTGAGCCTCTACGCTCACAGGGTATTCGTTTAGGTAGCCCCGCCCCAGCCGGTGCGCCGTCAGGAAAATCCTGGCTGCAGAATTTCTTTACCGCATGTGATGGCGGATGCGTAGTAGACTTCTTAGCCTTACGTGCGTTATTTCATTAAATCCATACGCTAACAATATTTACCCTCAAACCAGATTGGTATGGTACAAATTCAACGCAGTTTATTTCCTACGTTCAAGAATACCACGCTACATTCAATCTTTCCATATGGGTTACAGAATGGGCGTGTCAGAATTTTGCCAATGTCACTGCACAATGCTCACAGGATGATGTGATACGGTTTATGAACGAGACACAGACATTCATGGATCATACTGAATGGGTGGAACGCTATGCTTGGTTCGGCGCAATGCGTGATATGTCTGGTGTCAATGAAGTATGAGATTCAAAGCTTTAATCTACGTTGAAAAGTTCTCACTCAATAGTTGATAGGACAACAGGCTTATGGATCTTGGGGGAAATATAAATGACCTTGGAAGGCAATATATAGGTCTGTATCTTACTTCGGGTTACATCCGTACAATTTTGTTTACAGTGAATGAATAGGCGGGAACGGAACAATTTTGAGCAATGCAGGCTATTCCCTATCAAGAACCCCACACATTGCTATAACTGTTATCGGTACGGCCGTGGCTTTCATAGTCGTACATATACTGTGACAAGATCACACATATGCAGCACGTACGCTATATATGGGTCGATGGCGTAGCTGGTTATCGCATCTGTCTAACACTCAGGCGATGTCGTGTGCACAGAAGGTCCTCAGTTCGAACCTGGGTCGACTCATCTTTTTCGTGTATTGAGGCATGCTCTAGAGTCTATATAGACTTGTAATTTTTGGCATTTACGCAAACTCCGCGTTCTCTAACGAAAGGAGATTGAGATGAGAGATGATTTATTTCAGTAATAGACAGCCGATAACCATACAACGCACATGCTACACAAACTAGACTGGATAATGCTATGTAAATTAGACTACGACACGAAACAGAGAGAATGCATGACGGCATCAGAGCTTGAGATCGATGGGAAAAAATGAGTTGACAGACTGGGAATCGACAAAATAACAGTAAGAAAGAAAGCGGGGAACCACAATGTAATAATTGATGCGAAGCAGCAAAGATATACACAGTGAAAAGAAAGGATGGAGGAAAGGTAAAGAAATGAATTGCACAAGTACCAGTCACATATATACAGGAAGTATGGAAGAGAAAAAAAGGTGAATAAAAGAAGAGCGGTCAACCATGCTGTTAGCCAATGCCACGTATACTCGAACGCGCGTGCGGGAAAAAAAATGACGGTGTTTGGGTAGGTTGTGAAGGATAGGGCTGGTAGTGCCATTCGTCTCTACCTCAAAGGGAAGGTAGAGAGAAATGGCAAGAAGTAAAGATAGAACAGTAAAAGCAAGTAGATATATGACCAACGTTCGATAAAGAAACCCAATATACCCCTATCAAACACAGCAACAGCAAACGGAGAGCACCCTATGAGAACACGGGAGGCGGCGGTCGGGGTGGATTTTCTCTTGGAGGTTTCACGCGGAACTCGCTGACCAGACATACGTGGCTATATGGAAAATAAGCAGTTAGTCATCAGCAGAGGCAGAAAATGGTGGATAATACGCACTCGGATGGGAAATGGGCATTTGGGAACCCAACCACCTTCTTCAAATACCCCGTATCTACCCCTCCAAGCACTGCATTCACACCGAGATTTGCCGCCGAGTACCATATGTAATCAAGCACATCCTGGAAGCCGGGGGTGTAATTCGTCACATGCAGGTCTCCAGCCCCAGGCGCAGCGTACGCGTTCTTGAGACCCAATCGGTGTCGTAGGCCTTCTGACGTGTACTTGCCGTACATGTGTGACAAGAAATCCGGGTGGTTGGCGGGAAGCGTGCCGTTCGTGAAGAAGTCACATATGGCTGAGTCGGGCACAGAATTGTAATCACCACAAACGATGAGTGGGATCTTGGTACCATCGGTGTACGTTGGTGCTGCTCTTGGTGGGGGCGGTGACTCGCCGTCGTTCTCGCCGTCTGCAGCAGGTGTGGGTGGTGGCCGAGGCGGGTACCGAGCAAAGTTGTTTGCGATCTTATCGATCTCGTCCAGTAGTAGGGCGACCTGAACGAGCTTGACATCAGAGTACGCGGGGTCCCAGTGGATATGTGCGTTGGCGACAATTACACGTGTTCCTGTCTGCTTGTCCTCCACTAGAGTTACGACAGCGATGTGGTCTTTCCCTAGTACACGGTTGAACATGTCATCCGTCTTCTTGAAGTCCTGCCGTTGCATTGCAACTTGGCTGAATTCGATAAGATGCTTCTCCACTAGTTGGTATCTGAGGAAATGGCAACACGTCCTTATTAGCACATGCACACAAAAACAGGAATCGTGTGACGCACCTTGCTGACTTGTAAAACGTCGCACATCCATCCACCTGTCTCCTATCACTCTCGCTCATTGTCTTGTACCTCGACTTTGGCCAATAAACACCTTCATAGCCCAGCTTCTCCAACTGCGGGATAAAGTATTCCTCATACTGTGCAATATCCACTTCCTGCAAGCACAAGAAATCGCTATTGTAGCTCTGCAATTCCGTCATTATAAGCTCCTTCCTGTAATCCCACGCGAGCGCCCACGCAGGTGTGTACCCATACAACCGCTCCGTCGCATACTTCTCGCAAAGTATGTTGTAGCACTGCACGCTGAACGTTTCCGCGTATGGATCCGCGGCGAGAGCCTCACGCTCCGGTGTAGTCATAACGGATTTCCAGATTCGCTCTGGAGGAGGCGCGGGAACAGGGCATGTGTCCCGGAGGTACGACACTAGTGCGGTCGTACCCTCTTTCTGCACCAACGCCTTGAGCGTTGCGTCCATAGGGTTCCCTTCAATTCCCATGGTCTGCAGTTGATGCAGAGTACCCAGCTCATGTGGTAATGTCGTCAGGTGGTTGTCGAACAAATACAACTCCTTGAGCTGCGTGAGCATCCCGAGTTCGGGCGGGATCGACGCGAGGTTGTTCGCGGAAAGATCGAGCACTTCTAGGTAACGAAGTTTTGAGATCTCGGGCGGGACGATAGAGAGAGCGTTGTGGTTGAGGTAGAGGTTGAGGAGGAAGGTGAATTGGAATAGGCCTGATGTCGGCGGGAGATTCTTGAGGTTTACTCCGCCCATGTCCAGTGAATTCCATGTGTTCTCAGGAGGCTTTATCGATGTCAGCCGTGGTGCAACAGGTCCTACGGTGGATGAGGGGTGATTCGTGATCGGGGAGTCGGTCGTGGAGGGGGCGGAGTCGGTTTCTTTTGATTCAGATGGCGGGGGTTTAATGACATTAGGATTGGTGATGGGGATAGCCGATTTCGTAACGGTTCGTGAGGCCATAGCACTCGCGCGCGCGCGGTGGTGCGGTGAGCGTGAAGAGCGTATCATCTAGCCTAGTCAGCCGGAGTTTCGCAAACAGAAAAATATGAAACATCCAACGCACCTCACATTTCAAGAGCTGCTGTTGCCAGTGACTCGAGATGACCTGACTACCGACGCTTGCTGGTGATCCCGGTGCGAGCATGTGCTGCTGGTGTGTGTGGCCATTGGGAGGAGACGGGTAGTGGGAGAGTGAATTCTGGTGGTGGTGCTGCATTGGCTGGTGGGTGAGAGGATGGTGGCCTGGGTGGTGCTGCATGGGGACTGTTCCGTTGGTGTAGAGAGCGTAGCCAGGCGACGGCGGGGGGCCGACCGTCGACTGGCTAGGGGGTACGAGGATAGGGTGGTGTGCACGGCTCCAGGGATTCTGGTCATGGTGGTTGGGGAGTTTGTGTGCAATTCCTGGTGATTGCTGAGGGTAGTACATCGCATTTGCGGGGCTTGCGAGGCTACCGGACACAGACTAAGGGGACGACGAGGGCTACACGCCCGAGATGACCAGGCGGCGAGTACTTGTTGCTGGCGGTGCTGGTGGCTGGTAGAATGCAATTCGTAAGTTTCGTGGACGACAGAGACGTAGAGTGCGTGCTCACTAGCAGGAACAGCGGCGAGAGCGATGAGTATGGTGATAGCGATGAGTGGAATGCTGTGGTCGTCGTCGGCTCCAGCCTCCAACAACAAAGGTATTGGTCACCGTGCGAATAGTCTTACTCAGCATGGCCCAAAATGACTAAGAGGAGTCTAACGCCGTTAGAATCAAGCAATACCAAACAAGTTCATCCAAGCTATCTGAACTGCTCAAATCGAGCTTTACTTTACTTTAACATCTTACATGCTCTGGGCCCTGGCAGATCCTCACTCCATCATTAACGAAGAACATCCTGGACTTTTGACACAGAGCTCATTCCTGCTCGTTAAGACAGGCATTACCTCAATGTTATCAGCACTGTGTATCACTTGAAGCAAATGCAAATGCCTTACGAGTCGATGTTGATATCTCGACTGAAACAACGTCCCATTTTTGCGAAGAATAACCAGATATCATGGAATTTTCATCCTAGGAAATGCCACATAGTTTATTTGACTATGGAAACTAGTAACTACGCAGCGGGTAGCCTACGTCGTTCTCCTAGCTCCGAGTGTGGTGTGGTCATCTACTCTAAAGTGCCAAATAGATATTCGCATATACATTCAAGTGAAGGTAACTCTCCTTAGATGGGTCTATTGAACAGAGATTCGTATTACTTGCTCATTTAAGAATCTACTTTTATACCATGAATAACAGGGACGTTAGATCAGAGGCTCTACAATAGTAATATAAGTATTGCAATCGTATGCACTTTGTTGTTGTGTCACCATAGCCACTTGTTTGACCTCAAAAACATCGAAGTTATTGTCATTGTGTTTTCCAGAAGCAATATTTTTCTTGATGCCTCGCACTGCCATGAACAGCAGTAATGTTTGTAATAATTAATTCCTTGGTAAAAATAGGATAAAAATTGGCAACCCACAGATCGCAGCGGGCCCAAAAAATGCGCATGAAAGCCTCAATACGAACTTACCCATACAATTTGTTAATAGAGTAGTTTTCTCATTGGTTGGCGTCAAAACAAGAGTATGCTTTAATCGCTTTGTGTTAAAGTATAGACGACATCAGTTCTAGCCCTCAGACCTCTTTCATACAATAATTCATGTTTCTATAGAATTTTTGGCCTCCCTTCAATCGCTGTACAGTGGCAGAACAAGACTCATTTAGGTTGTGAGGCGGCAGCGCGTCTTACCACGTGACAAACAAATTCGGTCACATGGTACTTTTGTACTTCACTCCGTGCCGTAGAGATGACGGTTTGTTGAGAACGTTTACTGTTTCGAAGTTGAAAGTGGCACTGAGGACCGAGGTTTCTTCAGTTCTTCCAAGTAATATCTGCGCATTAGGCGTATCAAAGATTGTTAGCGAATCATATTCTTGAAATCCCAACTGACAAGGAAGACCCGAGCATCACGATCATTCATTTTACCCGGGAGCGCATTTGTACCAGATCCACCCTATTCTCCTTTCTTTCTTTTCTATTTCTTCACGGAAACCAATCTCCTGCTAACCCACATCCATCATGTCCCCCATCTACCAAGCAACTGCCTCTGCACCTGTCAACATCGCCTGCATAAAGTACGTTCATCGCCAGGTTTCTCATCTTGTTCTACTGATCATTCATTTGTTTTATAGATACTGGGGCAAACGCGACACGAAGCTCATCCTACCAACCAACTCATCGCTTTCTGTGACTCTCGATCAGGATCACCTCCGATCTACCACTACATCGCGTGCCGATCCGTCCTTCGAAAAGGACAGGCTTTGGCTGAAC